GGCGCTAAGTTGAGTCTGATTTGGAATCTCTTCGTTACCGAGGCCCATTTGGTACAGTTGGTATGTTGTTCGCTTGACAACCCAACTGTCAGGGTTTCGATACTTGGTGGTGGATGCGCACTGCTGATGAGTCCCAATTATAGGACGAAACGGCCGTCCCGTGCTTCCTCTATTCCTGTTGAGGTTTCTATCAGACTCAATGAATTAATTAAATATATATATATATATATAATTCACTAGTAGATATTACTTAATGACTGCGATTTATCAATGATTGCAAAAAAAGTTTAAACCATCCAGCCAAATCATTACCAATAACAAATGACCTCAAGAATCCCCGTTACGTAAACTTAAAGTTTATGAATTATCGTTCCCTTTAGGATATTGTATTTTCAGTACTGATAAAAACAGAAAAAAAATCAAATTCTTACATTGGTCACACAACCACCACACATTCACGTAGGCTAACTTGACTTTTATAGAACATATGTGAGGAAAATTGTTGTCCGGGCTTCGAAGTAGGACGATTGATATTATATCGCAGTACAACCCTCTTTTCCTTGGCATATATAGAATAATTTCGTACATATAATGATAATCACAGCACAAAAATAACCAAATATGATTTAACACTTTGAACACTGACCCTTTGATAAATATTTTTGTCCTTCCCTGTCCACTACTGTTCATGTCATAATACGGCAACACAAAGAAACATATACATTTATAAATGTTTACGTCTAATATTGTACTTTGCGATGCCAGTCATAGCAGCAGTTGTTCTCACTTCCAATTTTCAGTTACTTATCACAGTCTGAGCATTTACAATTGTCCTGTGCAGCTGACATTTTTTGGCTACTAATTTTTTCTACCAACCACACACCGTCATCATCAAGCCCGACAATGTCATAGTAAACACACTTTTAGACTGTTTGTGTCAAGGAACCTTTGAGACTGAGAGTCGTCGAATGAAACCTCCGCAATTCGTTTTTTTTTACGTCCCCAATAAGGCTTTCAAACAAATCAGGCAAAAAACAGGAAAAGTGTATTTGTTTTTTCACGTTGAACATAAGGCTTGGTGACATTCATTGCTAGATTACAGGCCACCCAGAAATATTTTCAAGAAGCATCTCACCCACTTATAGCGACGACTAGTAGTAATGACATTTGACTTTGTCCCTGTCAAACACCTTGTATGCACTGGATGATCTGAGGCAATTTATTGGCAGCTGTCCGTAGTAATATTACAAAGCCAATTGATTACTTACATGCAGACTATTGTCCACGTTCTTGTTGGCATCTGTAGGGATATCGTTACTGAATAATAATAAATAAAAATAAAACAATAATATTTAAACATTGTTTAAAATAAATTAAGTAAAAATAAAAATAATAAAATTACTACCAGCATGCACCACAAAATGTATCTGCCGGAAATACGGACATCTCGCCAAAAGACGTGAGATTCAAACTCTTCGCCACGATCTTCCAGGAAGGCAACAGTTGTGCAACTGCTCTCTGTGATATGGCTTGTAATACTACGGATTTTCTCCCTTTTATAACATGTACATTAACACAATTATAACGTAAAAAATACACACACAAATATATAAATTGTATGAAATTAACATACAATTTACCATGACTTTCTCTATTATTGTGTACGTTTATTTTATCGTTCTTTTCTCGTGAACACAAGCCCAATTTTCACTACCATGGTGTGAGTAAATACCCCACACATTACAATATTTCAGGCAATGGTTATTTTCTAAGCGTAGCTTAGATGTGGCACAAGGCCGAAAGTATGCGGAACCTAGTGAGGATCAATCTCACTTTTCAGTCGTATCTGATCTAGCGAGACAAGCTTGCTAAGCATTACACCACACCAGCGTGTCCTGTGATTTTCCAAGCGTAGCTTAGATGTGGCATAAGGCCGAAAGTATGGGGCACCAAGTGAGGACCGAACTCACTATTCAATCGTAATTGTTCTAGAGGGACAAACTTGCTTACACCGCCTAATGTGTTCAACAGAATTCGTCAGGAGCAGTACTAAAATAAGAATTAAACAAGATATCCCAAAACGTGGTCAGCGGAACGAAAACAATCTATCTCCGTATATTAAATAAGGGATTCAGTTTTAAATTCCTTGATGTTATCCTGATGGAGAAACACCCGGTGAAGGTGGCAAGGCACAAGGTGCGGAACATTGTGATAACAACAAGAATGAGGACTATAATTCGCTTGTAAATAACGGTTTACTACTCAGACTAGAAATTCAGACAGAAAAAGAAAATTGATTTCTTTAATCTTGCCAAGCGATAACAGCTACGGCGTTGTCGTTTCGAAACAAGCTCCATTTTGCATGTGCCCGTTCATTGTGTTTTTTTCCTTTTAATTGCTGTTAATTGATTGGTCATTGCAATGCCACACCTCCTGATATGGTCTTCAATCATGTCATGTACTGAATTCGCTTTGTTATAAATGTGATCGATGTACAATGGCTGATTCTGTGAACAACCAAGTTTTACTGGTGACAGCTTCAGCTTTTCTATCAGTATAGAACTCAATGTCTCATATGTAAAATAAAAAGATGTGCTATGATTGTTTCATTTTCAGCCAAGGTCAAATTATGACTAACGGTCAAATCTCCGTAGCGTTTATAAACACAATATAACTGACCGGTCCCCCGTTTATATGCACTTTCGCACAACCGCCCGAGTTCAAAGCCTTAAGACAAATATTAGTTTATCTATCTACCACTCAGTGTAAAGAATCGCCAAATATTTAGGTAAACTGCAATCCGTGTTCGCTTTTTTTGAAATACAGGATTCATTCCATGAAAAAAAAAAATCATTATCCGAAGACGTTCTTTTCACAAATCAGTTTTCTGTCTTATTTATTCACTACGGTGGAGTAATGGATAACAGCTCAGACAGTGGAATCGGAGAGCCGAGTTCGAATTCCAGTCGAATCCATTACATTTACTTACGTGCTTATACCTTTGCGAAAGGTATGAATCCTAATCTTCTCCCCTCAGCTGTGGGTAAATAACAGGACAGACCGAGTTCTATAGCCTTGGATGGCAAGTGGTCTACTGCAGAAAGAAAAGGCAACCTACTGTGGGAAAAAAATCTGCCTCGTCAGTCATGTATCGAAAGTTACATGATCGCCTAAGCGTGTATCACGCATGGCATATAACTGACTGATTATTCATACACACACACACACATATATATATATATAACACATGTACACATCAAATGCTCCAGACCAACTGTAATATTCAGCTGAGCGCTGTGCTTCACCAAAGTTTCGGCCCATTAAGCTCAGTCCTTATCTTAAGACGAAAACCCCATCATGCATCTGTAGAATTTCCTTATAGGTAGGACGGTGCGTTTTTGAAGTCATTCCCCATTCGATTGGAACCAAGAAATCTTTTTCTCTTAGACTATTTAAAAAACACTGTAAAACATTGAATGTGAAAATAAAATCAAGACCGAGTTCTATAGCCTTGGATGGCAACTGGTCTACTGCAGAAAGAAATGGCAACCTACTGCGGGGAAAAATCTGCCTCGTCAGTCATGTATCGAAAGTTACATGATCGCTTAAAAAATTGATAAAACATCTAAAAACATTGTTAGAAATTTCATTCATTGAACGACACTAGAAACATTTTTATACTGCAGCACGGCTTACGGTCATATCACTTTGAGACACCAGTACTCATACGATTACTAAAGTTAAGCAACGTCAGATCTGGATGGGTGACCGCTTGAGAATACTAGGTGCTATAAGCCTGGGTGAGCGGGCGATGTAATTGATAATGGCTCGGAATTCCAGTCAGCTTTGTTATATTCACGTACGCGCAAATACCTTTGAGATGGTATGACTCCAACTCTTCTCCCCCAGCTATGGGTTAATTAATAGGACTTGTATTTGTAAATCATTATCTAAAATAAGGTTGATAAGCCATAAAAGAAAAAAAGAATTCAATCAACTATATTGTAGGACTCTAAAGGACTGTGATTTTTGCCAAAGACATCTTCCTTGATTTCTGGAAGACATTTTGGCTTAATTTCTGGAAAACATATTTGCTTTTCTTTTTCGGGGGGTGGGGGGCGATTTCATTGCTTGGTCTCTAGAAGACACCTTTGCTTAGTTTCTGTGAGACACCTTTGCCATCCAGAGCGGTAGGAGCATCAGATCGTGCAATACGAGAGAAAAATAGATACCGAGAATAAATCTATTTCCTCCTGAGAAATTTATTCTGCGAATATGTAAAGAATATGCCAAAATATTCTAAAGTGTCAGGAGACAGGAAGAAGTCGCAAAAGTTTTTTTTTTTTTTACCAAAACTACAACAGCGGATATAAAGTGGTTTCTCGAATGACGAATGCTCTTCTGGGAATGACTGAATGTGTCGTGTCAAAAAGATTATATTCATGGAGACGCCTAGAAATCCTTTGAGGTCTTGTGTCTGTGATAAAATGAACGTAATATATCCCCTTCTTTTTCTGAATGTTTTCTTTCTTTGTTTGCTGTGAATATGTAACATTGCACAATCGGTTTTCTTTTAAATTTACTGTCAATCGTAAGATCGGACTTTCTTAAAGCAAAATTAAAAACCCTCCCCTTTTACAGAACAAAATTCTGCAAACTCATGAAAACACACAGAGAAAATACTGATATCTTTCCCAACAACTATCGACGAAAAATCTGGAATATTTTCTATTCTATTGATTCGTTTTTTACGGTTTGTCAACCCTTTGTAAGTTATTATGGCTAGAATATATATATTTTTAAATTGTAAGAATTTTTGGGAGATAATAATGTTTTAATGATATGTCTTACTAATTAACCTATATCTGGAAGGAGAAGAGGTGGATTCATACCTTTCCCAAGGTTATTTGCGTGCATGTTAATATAACGAATCAAACTTAAATTGGAACTCGGCTCTCCGATTAACAATTCTGAGTTATTATCCATTGCACCACCGACACATACAGCACCTAGTATTCCCAAGGGGTCGCCCATCTAGGTACTGACCAGGTTCGACGTTGCTTAACGTCGGTGATTTTACGGGAACCAGTGTTTCAGTGTTATGTAGCTGTAAGCCCTTTTGATGTCTAGTATCTGTGATAAAATGAATGCAATTTATCCCCTTATTTTTGTAAAGGTTTCCTTTCTTTGCTTGCTGGGTCGGATGTGTAACATGCAAAATCGGTTTTTTTCTAAATTTACTATCAAAAGTAAAATCAGGCTTTCTGAAAGCAATATTAAAAACCGTCCTTTTTATGGATCTGAGTTCTGCAAATTTAGGAAAACGAATACAAAAAAACGTGGCTGTCCGAACAGCTGTCAGCAAAAGATCTGGAATATTGTCTAACCTAACAAGAAAATTTTTATGAGAAACTGTATAGGAGAACAATATATCCTTTGATATTAATAAACGTAGATTAATACGTGACAAATTTAAATGTGCGAAAGATGGCTGGGTTTCTGAAAGACATCTTTGCTTTGTTTCTGGAGGTCAGCTTTGTTTGGTTTCTGGAAGGCAACTTTGATTAGTTTCTGGAAGACATCTTCCTTGGTTTCTGGAAGACATTTTCGCTTAATTTCTGGAAGACATATTTGCTTTTCTTTGGGTGTGGGGGGGCGATTTCATTGCTTGCTCTCTAGAAGACATCTTTGCTTAGTTTCTGTGAGACATCTTTGCTTGGTTTCTTGAAGTCATCTTTGTTTGGTTTCTAGAAGACATCTTTGATTAGTTTCTGGAAGACATTTTGGCTTAATTTCTGGATTTGCTTGGTTTTGGACAATTTCATTGCTTCGTTTCTAGAAGATGTCTTTGTTTGGTTTTCTGGAAGACATCTTTGTTTGGTTTCTGGAAGCCATATTTACTTTCTAGAAGACAACTTTTGCTACTCCCTGCCTAATATTGCTGTCTTTTTCGCTTTCGAATTTAAGTCACATCATAATCTTCGCTATATTAATATCAAGGGACATTTTATTATCATTGAGTTCACCACAAACGTTTTAAGAAATATGACAATGTCTTTAGAAACAAAGGAAATTGCTGAGCTACTATCTACTATTGAATCGAATACCAGACAATTTCAAGAACACATGGCACAGTGGATAAAGGCGTTAGTTAGTTCCAGTGACAGGACCCAAAGAGTGTGAGTTCAATACCTGGTTAAGGCAGTGGAGAACTTGGAGAGGGGAATTAACAGGAGATAACTGATAACTGACATCCATTAAACATGGCACGTGGAACTAGAACAGTCTACCCCAGTGAGCGAAATAAAGGGTTCAGTTCGACATTCCAACCACCTGAAGAAGGCCGGAGCGTACAACGGCCGAAACGTAGTGATAACTATGGCAACAAAGATGAGGACAATAGTACGAATAATGTAAATAATGTACATAATACCTCATCTCAGAAATATAGACAGATACTGAAAGGCCGAAAGGTTGTAATAAATATGGCGACAAAGATGAACACAATAATCCGAATAATGGAAATAATATACATAATACCTCATCTCAGAAATATAGACAGATACGGAAAGGCCGAAACGTTGTAATAAATATGGCGACAAAGATGAGGACAATAGTCCGAATAATGTAAATAGTGTACATAATACCTCATATCAGAAATATAGACAGATACGGACAATTTCTTCATAGAAGAAAAGGGAAGCGACAAATGCGTCTTGCCAACACACGCTAAGAACACCATTGTTAGAAAATTCTGAATTGCAAACCATGGGATGGGCAACAGGAAGGGGACTTTCCTTCCGGATTCTTCTGGAGGGATTGGCAGAGAAGGAGAAGGATTTTTTTCTCGTTGGAGTAGATGCTGTGGTTGTAGTATCTGTTACAGAGGCCATCTTTCCTCCCTTGCGTTCTCGCCCCACCGTTGCGTGACATCTGTTACGTAGCAGTGGTATAACCGGCTATGACTAGCTTAGACAAGCTCTGACCAGCTTACAAAAGCTCTGACCAGTTTACAAAAGCTCTGACCAGGTTTAGACCAGAGGCCGAGTGAAAAAAAACACGGGTCCCCACGTTAAAAACCGACCTTGTGTCACAACTTGACTCAATGCGAGGTTAAGGTAAATCTCAGGGGTAGGCAACAGGAATCAATTCCACTATATTTTCCAAGAACGCATCGGCAATTCACCGATAAAGAAATGTAATCTATGGAGAGGTATGGTCGACTAATTTCTGAAGGGACATCACTTTAAAGGAAGATACGGGTGAAAAACTACATTTTTCGATATCATGAAAATGTTTAAAATTTAATCATTTTTGTTAACTTTTTCTTTAGCGTCATTTATATGACTGAAACGAGAAAGTTTTAAAAATATGAACTAAAATGAAACTTTTGTTTACATTCAGAAATAGCTTACATTTCTGGGACGCTTAACGAAGAAAGACGAGTTGGAGAATTAAACACTCACATGATATACTGACAACAAGAGCATCAGAGAAAAAAGCAGCGTGTGATTGAATGGTTGGTAGAACAAGGACAAAGAGGGGAGGTGTAAATAAATAGAGTAAGAAAAGAGAAGAAATTATAGATAGCTATGAGCCTCCCCCACCATTCTGAAATGACATCGCCCATAAGATAAAAATACAAACATAATGAGTTAGTCATGTCCTACGGATATCCTATGAAAGAATGTTGAAGGTTACACTGCAATAGACTCCAAATAGAAAGGTAGGCCTAAAAGCATTTAGTGGCGCTCATTGATAACGGAACAAAAAAAGGGATAAAATACAAGACAGAATACAAAACTGTTTTCAGGGGAAGGATATGATTGCGGCTTAATGTCCCCAATCGGAAGGGGAGAGATAATTGTTATAGAGTAGTTTCACAGTGGAGGTTCTAAAAAGGTTCGACGTACAAAACGTCAGGAACTTGATATAAGAGTTAATGACGAAGCAGTCTAGTTGTGGTGGCTGATACTTTAATGTCCGACATCGACTGACTCACGAACTCGCTGAGCGACTGCTACTACTACTACTACTACTCCTACTTATTATAGGTGGGAGAGTCTATTAACTATAGAATAGGTGTGTTCCAGTACAACAATAATATTATTGACATACATGCATGCAGCTTCCCCATCTAGGTTAGTACAAGAGACATTATCATTACCACCAGTAACCGGTGTTTGAGCTCCTGTTAAAACGCGCATATATATATATATATATATATATATATATATATATATATATATATATGAAGAAATATAGTTTTAAGGTGTGCTATATTTTTGGGATAAAGTGCTCAATATCAGAGATAGACCATATGTAAATATAAAAGTGAACATTGAAGTCAACACTCAGAGGTGACAGGCTGTTTCATGCCTAGACGCAATCGACAGGCTGCCTGACAATTGCATCTAGCATGAAACAGCTTACCCTGAAGATCCGTTTAGGTGAAACCTAGTTAGGTTTTCCTGTCTCTTTAGGATTTATTTTAGTAATTCCCTCTCTATTTACCGTATTGAGCACTCTACGTTTTAGTCTTACTACTCGCTTGGTTTCTTTTTCTTTGGACTAAAGACTTTATTTCGCCCTATTCGGATATTTTTAGTTCTTTCTTTTTTTTACTTCCAATATTTTCCTCGGCTGTCTGAGGTTTTACCAAACGAATATTATATATATATATATATATATATATATATATATATATATATATATATATATATATATATATACGACCTTGTGCCACATCTAAGCTACGTTTATTAAATACTAGCTGCTTCAATCACAATGACGTCAGTTGTAGAGTTACTTAAGATTTAGTCAAATTTGAGTACACTTGCTTATAAAAGTTGTGTATATATTTATGTGTGCGTGTGCACGTGTGATACCGAACATCAAAGGGATGTTGTTTTTTTTTACTAGGGAGAGGTATTACACGTAAGAGGATTTTTCATGCTATCGTTAGTTCCCAACCGTTAGGTGAACAACTCTAATTGCAACGTTCTGCTTATCTCTTTTCGTTTCTCTAACGTATAAGCACGTGGCAGACATTCTAACTGAACAGGGCACTCTGGGAGAACAAGAAAAATGACTTCCGTCAAATGGGGGCAGCTTCCCCTTATATTTTGAGATCATCCCTCGGGTAATTCTTGACGTTTTCTTCCTTGTCTGGGTTTACTTTCCCGAAGGTATAACAAAAAGAAGGCGAAATATATTCAGTTTGTCTGTGATAAAAGAGATTCTCATGGCAGGTTATAACAAAGTTTTCTTTCAGATTTAAATTTTATTCTTACTTTTCAGACTGGGCTAAGAGTGGCCGAACATTTTGCTGACAGACATTTCACCCAAAAAGTACAATTAAAAATAGTAACAAGCAATACTTTAAGTATTTTAATTCGCAGTATTATAAGGTACAATAGGACTAATAATTACCAATGAATTTCAAGTGATTAAATTACTAAATCTAAATTCAACGGTAAAAGTTTTCTTATTTCAATATTTGTTTATTGAAATTAAATTATTTTAAAATATTTGAGTGTATTTGGGTAAAAAGTAGCACCTAATTATTTAAATTCGTATTTAACAGTAACATAAAAGCTAATTCATCCTGATCATTAAAAGCAAAATTGAAAGGTCTTTCATATTGTAAAAGCTTAAGATTTTTGTTGTAGTAAAATGTGCTTTTTCTCAAAATACTTTTCATCTTATAGTAATATTTGAAGTAAAATATAGCATATACAGAATAGACTTTAAAATAAGCCTGTCAAAAAAAAATTAATTAATACAGTAAATAAATATAATTATATGTAGCACATTAGAATAAAAACTGTGACATACATTTAAGTACGCCACTACATTTTCCGCTAAATGTCCATTCGGTTAAATGTCCGTCGGCCAAATGTCAGTTCAGTGAAATGTTCGTCAGGCAAATGTCTGAGTACCGGGCTAAAAGTTCTTGCTCAAGGCCATATGCGTGCACTGGAGTGACTGTCTGCAGCAATGGAAACTTATTCTTGATTGATTAGAAAGCAAAAGATACAATTATGATTCTGTTAACACAATTTAGTCCACAATAACAAATGATTTCTCATACAGACAA